ACCTGTCACTATGACCGGTAACTTCAAAGCGCCAACATCCAGACAGTTGGGGATGGAGCGGAAGGCCTTCTCGTCCAACATGATATCAAAGCTCCACCCCCGTTCAGGCTATCGCAGGAAGCCCCAGAATCTCGCCATACTGGGGAAGAAAGCGGCCAGATGTTCCCCGATAACCTGAGGAGGACCTCGTATACTGTTAACCTGGTCCTTCGTCGGCCTTCGTACTCCGTACGCAGTATCAATTCGTTATTGATTAGTTCGCGGCTAGCCGCGGCGACGCAATCTTCTGGTGTGGGCAACAGTACGTCCCACATGAAAAACTTAGCACCCTTTAACTATTCTAAGGGGCTTGAACCCGAAGGATTCTAGTGCTTTCAACACTGTTTTTTCGTCGAGCGACAAATTTTGCGCGTACGCTTGTCCACGACGAAAATCCATTCTTTTCAAAATTCTTGGGGGTCTTCAAAAGACCACCTTCAGGTGGGGGAAACTCTTGGCACGCTCCAAGAACTTAAATTGATTAATTTGGGGGACTTCAACAAGAGAGCGAAAAGGCCTCTGCATTAGTTTTGTGTTGTCCGATTCTTTGTCAGCCTTTTACTTTTCTGGACATATTTTTGGAAAAAACAATTAGACGGTTCGTTTGTGGGAAAACGGAGGTCAGGATATTCCTCCTTATTGTCTTTAAATATCGCCTAAAGGTTAAATAAACAAACTTCTTTTTAAAAAAAAATTTTCTTTTTACAATTAAAAAAGAAACTTTTTTCCTTTTTATCCATATTTAACAGGGGATGGGGGGAGGTGGAAATGGGAAGGGTTGGGAAATAAAATATAACAGAGGAAAACAAATAACTCAACAAAATAAAATAATTATGGACACCAAAAAACAAAAGACGTTCACCTAAACGTATAATAAAAATAAAATTAAAGGCGAAAAAGACAAACACAACGAGTACAATAAAAAAAAAATTTTAACAAGAAACGGAAAATAAAAAAACAGAAACACGTACGCTAAAAACAAAAATACGTTCAAAATTTAACAAATTAAAAAACAACGAGTACGGAAATGAAAAAATTTAAAACGGAAATAAACAAAAAGGTATCTTTTTTAACAAAAATGAACAAAAAATGCCAAACGCACAAATACAATATGGCTGCCACTAGAAAAAACTAGTCAGCCCAAACACGAACGAAAATACGTAAACTAAAATAAAGAAGAACTAACGAATAGAAAAATAAATGCGGTAAATAAATACAAAAATTTACAAAAAACACAAAAAAGACTTAAATAAAGGAATACAGAATAAATAACAGTTATTTACAACGAGAAAGAAACACTGAAAACACGTAGAAATAAAAATGTAAACAAAGAAAAAACGATGTCTTACGAGGAGCAAAGAAATGAAAAAAATAAAGTTTGGTGTGGGGAAGTTACTGAAAATTAAAAGGAAAAAAAAATTAAAACTCAAAAATACGTATTAAAAAAAGGAAATTAATAATAAAGAAAACAACAAGGGATAAAGTATAAAAAAATAGAGGGGAGGGAAAAGAAAGAAAAAATCAAATCAAACTTTTGGCAAATCAAATCAAACTTTTGGCAAAAAAAAAGTCAATAAACTGAACGTAAAATAAAATAAAAAGAACTTAACGTGGACAAAGGGTTGAAATCAAAAAACTGTTCGTTAAAAAAACTCGCAAATGCGTCTGGCGTCAAACACCGGTCGTATACAGTCGAAAAAAGAACTCTCCTCAAAGAGGTACCAGAGAGGAATTTTCCTTAAAAAAATTACCATGAAAATATATATAGCACAGAGAAGCTACGTTACGGCGTTGGGAAAGTGATTAAAGTAATTGAAAATACTTTTGTTAACTGACGGTATAGTCATTAGTCTGTTTCCAAAGACTTGATAGTTTTCCTGTATGACTTGTAAATATTTAAAATGTCTTTTTTACTATCACGATCAGGATTGGTAGTGTACTGTCTGTCCAGTTGTCCGTTTGCTAGCTCCAGTTCTTGAGATCTGTCTGTAATGGTGATAGAGAAATTCACTAAAGCCTCTGTTTTTAAAACAATAACACTGAATAAAATGAGTACAAAACAACAATTATCAATAAAAGAAAATGTTTTAAAAAAATGACAAAATGCTGGTAAGCATCTGTGTACTGAAGCAAGACCTCCTTATGCGACCTGCTACAACTTAATGCACTTATATTCTTCTCATATTCCTTGTTTTCGCATTTTTCTTTTTATTTTGCCAAGTTTTATAATTTCTTTTTTGACTTTTCTATGACCTCTGCTCAATTTTTTTGCAATTTAACTTTCGTTTTTTTAGGTCAACTGTTATCAGTGACAAATGTCTATCAGGCTTTAGATAATAACAGTAACAGTGGCTTGACATATCTCGAAGGTGATTGACAGGGTTTGTCATATTGGTGTTCTCCGCAACCTCAAAGGTTCTGGTGTCTCTGGCTGGATAAATGAACTTCATCTATTCGTTCTTAACAAATCAGATAATGAGGTTCATATTGAATGGCCATGCGTCTAGATCATTCCACATTAATGCGCGGTTTCCCCAGAGATCTACCTTCTACTCTTGGACCTACGTTATTTCTTATCTTCTTAACGACCGTTCCGATGTCATCAGTTTCTAACTAGGTATTCATGCTTATAACACAACTAATTACTCCTGTGTTAAGTTCGACAGGTCTAACAAAGTTGGCAAATCCTCTCGAAAATGGCCTCCAACAGTTGCTAACGGAGCAAGCAATAGCTTGTAAATTTTAATGCCTCCAGAAGAAAACTGCTATCCTTTAATCAACATAGAGGATCATTTTTGCCCTCCATCGGCATGGATGATGCTAACCACCAGGAGAGCAACTTATTTCTACTGATATGAAGTGGAATGATTATATTGAATACTCACATCTGTCATTTTTTTTCCACGTGAAAAAGAACGACAGGTGTGAGTGTAAGTTGGGGGGTCGTCGGAATTTCTGGATACTGGAACGAGAGTTCTATTGACGACTGAAGCTGACTCTGTTTTCCTTTCGAATGTGCGTCTGGGGGCACAACAGTCTGTGCTCAGTTATTTTGGAGACGACACGTAGAGGAATTCCATTGCAGTGTTGCTATTCAGCTGATAGACTTATTTTCAGTCGAGTTTTTTTCAATTACATCCCTAATGACGATATCTTTGATGGATGGTGTCAAGTAGTTGTCTTCCTTCGCTAGTTGAAACATAGAGTGAACCTGGTGGTCACATTATTGTCGAAGACTGATTTCATGAGTTGTCTTGGTGGGTGACTGGGTTTGATTACTATCAAATTTCTCTTTTATTTGGAAGACGTTAGGGAATGGCTCAAAGGCGTTAGTGCAGAATGCGTTTACAGTGAGTGGCTTGTATGTTTTTATTGGATAGACATTACCTACTATGATCTATCCTAAGTCACTTTTCTTGGCATAGGGTGCGTTGTGGGGGCCTTTGATTTATCTACGAGCCTTATGTGCTGTAATGTCTCGACCGAAAAGAACCATGATTGGAGTCTTGGGCTCTCGTTTTTGGATCAGATGCACTATTGTCTTTAAGTCTGGGTAACGGTGAGTCACATCCAGAGTTGGGATCTCCGATCTGGAATCTCGTTGCATTCAATAAGGTTAAGGAGTGGAAGACTAACCTGTTCGTAGATAGAGTTCACTTGGTAGCCTCTCGCCCTTTGTCCAGCAGTCTCTATCACTCTAGTACAGGTTTTATATGAAGTGCAGCTGGGAATTTTATTGCTGAAGGCTCTAAAGAAATCTGAATAAACTAAGGATTGATTGCTTTGTTCACTGATTATGGCGGAAACTCTTATTGACTTTTTTTCCGCTAGTCTATGGGATAGACATTGACAATGCAGATTTTAGAACAGAACCTCTCTGTAAGGTAGGCACCACAGTTACTTCAGTAACGTCCACAGCAACTGCGAGTTGACAGAAATTTTGGGTGATATCTCGGTTTTGTGTACTGAGATTACTCTTTTATTCTGTTACCAGGAATCCTTTTCTGCGTGGGGCATATAGTAGAAGCTTGGATCATTTCTGATCTTAGCTCACAAACTCTGCAAATACTGAAACGGGTAGAAAAGGAACATGATGCTGTTGCTCGTAGCTAGAATCCAAGAACAACCACTTCTCTTGGAGGTTGAAGGAAAGTGTTTGCATTAGAGGGTTGACTCCTCAAACTGTATCCAGGAAAGCATCTTCTTTGGTAGACTGGAACTCCATAAGGAAGTCGCTGAATTCCCTTAGTTCTTCGAGGGTTCTTTGTTTGAGATTATTGAGAGTGCACTCGCGATCATTTCTGGAGAGGCACAGCACTCGTCGAATCTGTCCCATATCATCCTTAGTCCACTTTTCGGATGGTTCAAGTAATCAGCCCTGATTCTTTTAACATGCTCCACGGATTCTTTGTCGGTCCATTTTTTAAAAAAAAAGATCCATTTCTTCACTATGAGTCTTATAGCACTTTAGAAGGGGCGCCTTCAAGATCTATAGCTATCAGGTTGGTCGTTGAACTGGAGTAGACCAGTCGTAACCAGTTCCTGACGAGCGAAGTATTTGACAAAATCTGTCATGTGTTGTGGCGTGTGTCAGGGGCTATCGTTGTACGTATCTTTCTTTATATCGACCTTCGCATTGTCTCTCTGATGACATGAGAGAAACATCTGGATACTTAGGATCTAATACATCGGCGATCTATGAATAGTAACTTATGGAAGCTGTGGCATTCAGGCGAATGGCGTTTTCTGCTTTCAGAGTTTGATGGTATTGTCCTGTGTGTTGTCAGGAGTTTTCACTAGAAAGTGTATTGAACTCTGCTGCCTGTATGTTTTTCATGACTCATTTGATCTACTAAATATTCTATAATGTGTTGTATGGAGTGTGGTCAAGTACTGGTTAGCTGCAACTCTCTTGTTTACTTTTAGGTTCTACGACCGCTTCCAGGGCATCTGCTTCGGTGATGGCAGTGACGACTTCTCTCTCCATTGATGCTTCCAACCTGACTTTTTCTACTTTCATCCTCATTCCTTATTCGACGAACGTAAGGCATACATTGAAAGCTTTAACCCGGGCCAGAGCAACGCCAACAGCTGATCTGCTTGAAGCCTTCAAGCAGCATGAAGCCTGTGATTTACTGTATTGTCGTAAGCCCTCCTGGTTTTGATGTAGTAGTAGTAGTGTCCTAAGATAGTGTGTACTGATATCCTCTGATAAACTTCTACTCCTGTTCAAAAAACTAGGGAGGAGGGTAAGCGGGTCAATAAGCAAACATGCCAACTCCTATTGAGAAAGAAAAAAATAATAAATTTCAGTGTTTAGGCGGAAATGTTAGAAGTATAAAGTTGGAGTAGTTTATTAGATGAAATAAATATAGCAGTTGCGTGAAATTAAAATGCACGTTCATAGTTCACTAGTGATGTGACATATTTGCGCAGTATTTGTTATATGAAACGTTTGTTTTCAATTGTGTATTTGGCTGTCATATTTTATTTATACGAAAACGACTTTTTGTGTTTTTAGTATGGTATATTGGCCCTTAACTGTTTATTATTATTCCACATTGATGATGGTTACAGAGTATAATTTGCCCTAATTGTCCATTACACTAATTATATGAATAAATAACTGAAATAACTGAACTTATGGTAACAGTATGTATACAAAATGGCTATATATTAGTCGAAAAACCTGGCTTTTACAAATAAAAATCCCATTTACATTTTTCTACATTGATTTTTATTTTACACAAGGGAAAAAGAAAACTAACATTCTTTTATTTAAATATACTTAGCTCATATATTAGCTCTATGGTCGAATTATACCCTTGTGTAAATTAATTGAAACAACAGCTTTAGTTTGCTTTCTTTCACCATACGGTCAGTTATGAACCCACTGGAGTGACAGGGTGTAATCGATTTCTATTTTTCCTCAGATTAGGTCATTTGCAATGGTGTGCAGTAATATGAATCTATTTTCGGGGTGTATGATGAAATTTGTTTTCAATATTCGTTATCTGTGATTGCATCAGATTTTCATCACGCCCAGACAATATTGCCTCGAATGGCAATTATCTGCGATGGACGTTACTCCAATAAAACGCACTGGCAAGCCTTACCAGTAAGCAAATCAAAGTACTAGCGACTGGCCCGAAAACTCTCCTGATTATTCAGTCGAGAATCTGTGGTCAATCTGCAAGGAGCAACTTTGTGGAATGAACAAACGAAGTACTAACATGTGAACTGGGTTATATTTCATTGAGAAAATACGAAAAAAAAGTAAATAATAATGAAATTATTCGTTTTGTTTCAATTAATTTACACAAGGGTGCTATTTAGAACAGGAGGCAACATTTTCATTGAAGCTGCCAGTCCAAGAGATGTCTCTTTTAGTTTTAAGGGATTACACCAAACTTCATCCTTTTTAAGACAGATACTGTTTTAAGACGATTAAACATGTTTTAAGAGATTATACCATTTTTAAACAGTCAACACAAGTTTTACAGTCGACACAAATGGACAACAATGCCACTTTTAAGCAGACAATGCCTGTTTAAGCGGAATACACCTGTTTTAGTTTTTAGTTTTCGCTCAATGTGTTAACTATTCATTAGTTACCAAATATTTTCAATATGATTTGATCTTTCATTGACGGATATTATGGCTTTTTTATTTTCGGGCTGGAAAAGAGACTTAAAACATAATAAAAAAATTTTTTAATGAATAATATATATAGCAAGTAAATGGGGGTTTTAGGAAATTTATTCTTTCTCCTTCCACCTTTGGGAGAGGGAGAGAGTAGAAATTTAAGAAATAATAAAATTAGCAGATTTGTCCGAATATAGGTCATAATTAAAAATTGACGACTATGTATGAAATTTTACTTCATTCATTCTTAACTCATTATGTTTCTACATGAAGGATCAATAAATAAATAAAATCTTTTTTAATTATTAATTTTGTATTCAATGTACATTTTATGAATGAAATTTCACTTTTAATGTAAAGAAGTGACACAAATATCTATTGATATCGTAAAATAATTTATTTTCATACAGTGTAACCCGGATATAAGAGAGTTGTCGGGACCGGAGAAGAAATCTCTTATATCCGGGTTTCTCTTATATCCGGGTCTAATTTATATACATTAACACAGGCTCTAATTTGGGACCAGAGAAAATCTCTCTTATATCCGGGTTTCTCTTATATCCGGGTCTCTTATATCCGAGTTACACTGTACTTTAAATCAGGATATATTTATATTGAGGGTTTTTTGGTGCTTTTCATTCGTTTTCGAGCCGTAAAATCTTTCGAAAACGAAAGAAGAGCCGATATTGTAATCCCAACTGCTATAATGACAATGACAGTCATAGAAAGAATTACAATATGTGTAAGTAACATAATGCTAGAAATTGTTTCAATATTTAGTGCCTATGTGAATATTTTACAACTGACTTATTCATTACTTCAGCTTTAGGATCATACCAAAACAGCTACAGGATAATCTTGAAGTGATTCAAAGCGACGTCGAGAAGCAGCAAGAGAAGCAGAAGAGAACAAGAGACAGAACAGGAAAAACATGAGCAACAGTAAAAGTCCGAAGGAGAACAAATTAGAAGAAATTAAGAGAATGAAGAAAAAAGAAATGAACATCTCAGATCCATGCGAGACTCAATAAAAAAAACAAAACAAAAAAAAACAAAACAAAAAAACATGGAGAAATTAATCAGAACAAGATAGAATGGAAAGTCTAAAAAGAATCTTCAAGAAAGTGTCCAAAAAAGAAGTAGTAATGTATCAGAGCCAGAAGGAAATGGCCGACTCGTGTAAATGTGAATAACAGTATAGAAAAATAGAAATTAAGAAAAAGAACAAAGATTTGAAAGACTATTCAATCAGCGAGTCAGAGATAAAACAAGACAGTTTTTCTGTTAATTTCAGTGAAATTACTAATATTCATGGACCCCCAATATAGTGAAAATTTACGAATGGACATACTGACAGATGACAGTATTCAAAAAGAAATTCGTGAAATTCTTAAAAATGTAACTAGACAAAATAATCCATATATTGCACCACTGAAATAGCGAAAGAAAGTATTAGAGATTTATCCAATATATCTATTGTTATTGATCCAGGTCACCGACCTGCTTTGGAAAATGAGAAGCGATTTAATATACAAATTGTCAATGAATTTGCTATTATAATAACAAATGAACATGAAGCAACATCACGTCATTTCGACTAGAAATTTCGAGGAATTGGTCTGTAAATACTTTCAGTTCCACACATCATAGGACAGTTTCCGATATTTCCTTTACTTTGCCGTTATAGATGATTGCTTCGCGAACTTAAAATTGACTCCAATGCGATGTTATACCTGTAGAATCAGATTCCTACATTTTTTTTAAACCTTAAATTTTGTGTAAGTTAAACACATAGAGGCTCCCAGCCAAATATACCAACTGATGTATTTTGATTGGTTGTAAAATATTAATTAGGTGGCGTCAACTACGTCCGAAGGTACCGACCCAAATTTTGACCTCTAGTTGACGCCATAAAATGTAAACATATTTACGAGCCTCCCCACGTGACCAAGAGAACTAATAAAAACGAAACTTCGACGCGACTTGGTCAGTGGGCACTTAAAATATTGAAACCAATTCACTTGACTTCATTGGAAATCAACACAGCAAAGGAGACGAAGATTATCTTCAATACAACAACAAACTTTGTCAACCATCTCCAGGCTTAACGCTCACTCCCACAAAATATTCCATTTCACAAGAATCTCTGGTTAATGAGCGATAACAATCAGTGAGTCAAGAACAATACTTTTTTTCTATTTAATACACAAAAAACATCTGTTTAATTTTCCTATAAAAACAAATATAGCTAACTAAACCTTGTCATTTTCACACATACAGTACAGTAGCTCAAATTCTTTTCAGTAAACACACACCAAAGAACTCTATTGTGTTTATCAACTTTTGCACTATATATTATGTATTTGTTGTGTTTATAAAAAAAATATTTATTGTTGAACAAATTCACATTTTCTTCTACTTGATTATTTCTCTTGTTGTTTTCTTTGTTACATTTGATATTGTAAAAATTGTAGAGGGTCAGTTTTTATTTCTATTTATAACCAATACAAATTGGCTGACCCACTATAAATTGGTGACCCCAAGTTCAAATGTGCAAAGCAATATTTTAAAAACAGCATTTTATAAGAGAAATACTTTAGTTGTCACGTTTTAAACGAAAGCAATGGAAAATTCTACCAGCGAACATATTGAAGCAGCAATTTCCATCAGTCTACCGACGTACAACCACACCAACGTTCAAGTGTGGTTTGCGCAGTTAAACGCAATTTTTAATGCAAGAAAGGTCACGTCTCAACATGCCCGTTACGCTTTTGTAGTTGAGAAACTTCCCTCAGATGTAGCATTAGAAGTAGCAGACCTCCTCAGTGAAGTGCCGGCGGAGAAACCGTATGATACTTTGAAAGATGCTATACTATACCGCACGGGCGAATCAGAGGAACGTCGGTTGCACGATTTGTTTAACAACCTTCATTTGGGGCACTATAAACCTTCCCAATTGCTTAGAAAGATGAAAGCTTTACTAGGTGACAATACCATGCCTGACACAGTCCTCCGTAAACTATGGATGGATAAACTGAGCCCACAAACATCACAAATATTAGTGTCACTCCCGGACGATTTGGACCTACAGCGATTGGCAGAAATCGCGGACAAAATATATGAGAATAAACCTCCGGGAACTGCTTCTGCGACACCACTACAACCTATTGTCTCTTCAGTCCGTGACTCACAAGAGTTATCGAAAATTAAAGATTGTATAGCAGAGCACAGTTACAAGCTCTACAAACCGCTATGCATCAGCAAAATCGCACGCCCAACAATTTCACTAGTCGACCACGTCTATCACATCATACTAGACGAAGATCACGTTCCACATCCAGAAGCAGGCCTATATTTAATACATGTTGGTATCATTTTAAATATGGACAACAAGCGCGGCATTGTACGAAACCGTGTAACTTCGACATAAACGCAGCTAAGGATAACAACACACAGCAGTCGGGAAACGACTATCCCGGCAACAAGTAGAGACGTTTGCTGCCGGGGGATGCCAAAAGTCGTCTCTTTACATCCGAGATGAGAACTCCGGATACTTGTTTTTAGTGGACACTGGGGCACAAATTAGTGTAATACCAGCCAAGCCTAATATGTTGACTAGAAAGACAAATTATACGTTACAAGCGGCGAATGGATCTTCAATCCAGACATATAATGAAACCTCTTTAACCCTAAATCTGGGATTTAGGCGATCTTTTCCGTGGGTATTCACGATAGCCCAAGTTCGAACCCCAATCCTGGGAGCGGATTTCCTCGCCCACTTTAACTTGTCCGTTAATATGTCTTCCCTTTCTTTGGAGGATAAAACGACCAACATTACAAGGAAAGGAATTACATCTATTTATACGAGCACATGTATCAGCGCAACTCTACCTGAAGACAACGGAATGCAGGATCTGTTACAAAAATATTCTCAAATTACAACACCATTCCGGTATACAGAAACCGTTCATCACAATGCTGAGCATCACATTGATACTACGGGCCCACCCACGCATTCCTCTCCACGGCGATTGAGGCCTGATAAATATAAACTGGCGAAAGACGAGTTTCAGCACATGCTGGACCTCGGTATAATTAGACCTTCTTCGAGTCCTTACTCATCTCCTCTTCATATGGTTCCAAAACCGGACTCAGGAGCTTGGAGACCTTGTGGCGACTTCCGGAAGCTGAATGCTACTACAATTCCGGATAAATACCCCATCCCGCACTTGCACGATTTCGCAGTGGGTCTGCATGGCGCCACAGTCTTCACCAAACTTGATCTGGTGAAAGCATTCCACCAGATACCAGTGGCCAAGGAAGACATCCATAAAACAGCAATAACTACTCCTTTTGGCTTATACGAATTTGTGAGAATGCCATTTGGTTTAAGGAACGCTGCACGATCTTTCCAACGGCTTATAGACGAAGTGCTGAGAGGTATACCTTTCACCTTTGCCTATATTAATGACGTCCTGATCGCCAGTAGAAACAAGACTGAACATCGTCACCACGTTGAACAAGTTTTCCAGCGTCTACAGCATTTTGGCCTTAAGATTAACGCAGAGAAATGTATTCTTGCTGTGCCCTCGCTTAAATTTTTGGGACACGTCATTGACGAAAAGGGAATAACGCCCTTACCTGAGAAAATAGAATCTATTTCAAATTTCTCACAACCAACTTCACTCCGGCAGTTACGCCGATTCTTAGGCCTCATTAATTACTACCGGAGGTTCATTCCTGGTTGTTCCCAGATTCTGATTCCCCTCACAGATTTACTGCAACAACAGCGTCAGAAGAACTCAAAGATTACCTTGGAAGGCGAATCACTGACTGCTTTTCACAGAGCCAAATACGCCCTTGCCAACTTTACGAAGTTATCATATATAACCGATGATGACTCAATGATCACACTGACAACAGACGCATCAGGCGACTCCATAGGGGCCGTGCTTCACCAGGAACAGGGAGATGCTAAAAAACCTATTTCGTTCTTTTCAGTCAAGCTAAACTCATCTCAGAAAAAGTACAGCGCATTTTCAAGGGAATTACTGGCAATATACTTGGCAATCCGTCATTTCCGTCATCTTTTGAAAGGACGGAATTTTGTGGTCTATACAGATCATAAACCATTAATTTATGCTCTGCACGCCAAGTCGGACAAATATACCCCAAGGGATATCCGACAATTGGATTATATTTCCCAATATACGTCGGATATCCGCTATGTAAAAGGGGCTGACAATATAGTAGCTGATACCCTATCGCGATCAACGATACAGTCAACTGACGCACAGACCTTGAATTTCGACTCCTTAGCGGAAGAACAAAAGACTGACACTACTTTGGAATCAGTAAAAGAAAAAAACGTCACTACAGTTAAAGCAACACCCTGTGCCATTTGGTAACACTACTGTCTATTGTGATGTAAGCACAGGATACTCTAGGCCCTATGTACCACCTTCTTTGCGAAAAAAAGTATTCGAACATTTCCATTCTCTGTCGCACCCTGGTCGAAGAGCGACTACTAAGATGATTAGTGATCGTTTCGTTTGGCCAAAAATGTCCAGTGACATAAAACACTGGACACAGACTTGTTTAAAATGCCAGCAAACTAAAATACAACGGCATACCAAGTCTCCGCCTGGTACATTCTCTAAGCCTGATGGTAGGTTCACCCACATTCACGTTGACTTAGTGGGCCCTTTGCCCGACATTGATGGGTACCAATACTTATTAACAATAATCGATCGTTTCACTCGTTGGCCTGTAGCCGTTCCTTTAAAAAGTATTTCAGCGGAAACGATTTCCAGGTGCATTCTTAGAGAGTGGATCTCTATCTTTGGTTGTCCTTCAATAATAACCACTGATAGAGGTTCCCAGTTCCAGTCAGTCCTTTTCAATGAATTTATAACCTTGTTAGGCGTAAAGCACATTTCTACAACCGCCTACCATCCATGTGCAAACGGCCTTGTGGAACGATTTCATAGGCAACTTAAGGCAGCACTAGCAGCAAGTGATGACTCCAGGACTTGGCTGGAAAACCTACCACTGATTTTACTGTCATTAAGAAATGTAGTCAAAGAGGACTTAGGATGCACTACAGCAGAACTAGTTTTGGGGAGTACGCTAACACTCCCTGGACAGTTCGTGGAAAAGCATGCTCCTTCCAGACCGACTACCTATTTCGTCCAGGATTTTAAACAAAAAATGGAAAACCTAGCTTTTACTCCAACGCGTGCCCAAACAAGGGAGTTCTTTATGCCGAAAAATTTAGACAGTTGTGATTACGTCTTCCTGCGAAAAGATGCAGTTAGAAGACCCTTAACCCCCACGTATTCTGGTCCACATAAAGTAATTAATAGAATGTCCAAGCATTTTACTTTACTTTTGCACGGAAAGCCTAACACAGTGTCAGTCGACCGGTTGAAACCGGCTTACATCGATTTATCTCATAAATCGCTTCCTAACCCAGAGCTAACATCTTCGACCCAGCCAGCGCAGCTTGCACCTTCAGTACCACCCGCGGAAGTTACTACTAAGTCTGGCAGACATGTTCATTGGCCTAGTAGATTTAAAACGTATATTACATATTGAGAAAATTTTCTCTCAATGTAGGAATCTGATTCTACAATAACCCCCCCGAAGATTGTGAAAGTTTTTTCACAATCTGCGGGGGGGTTATTGTAGAATCAGATTCCTACATTTTTTTTAAATCTTAAATTTTGTGCAAGTTAAACACATAGAGGCTCCCAGCCAAATATAACAACTGATGTATTTTGATTGGTTGTAAAATATTAATTAGGTGGCGTCAACTACGTCCGAAGGTACCGACCCAAATTTTGACCTCTAGTTGACGCCATAAAATGTAAACATATTTACGAGCCTCCCACGTGACCAAGAGAACTAATAAAAACGAAACTTCGACGCGACTTGGTCAGTGGGCACTTAAAATATTGAAACCAATTCACTTGACTTCATTGGAAATCAACACAGCAAAGGAGACGAAGATTATCTTCAATACAACAACAAACTTTGTCAACTATAAATTTTTTTAAAACCAAACTCATCTCCAGGCTTAACGCTCACTCCCACAAAATATTCCATTCCACAAGAATCTCTGGTTAATGAGCGATAACAATCAGTGAGTCAACAAACTAAATACATAAAAAACATCTGTTTAATTTTCTAAAATTTAATAACTAAACCTTGTCAAAAACATACTGCTCAAATTCTTTCAGTAACACACACACCAAAGAAATTGTGTTTATCCTATATATTATGTAAATAAAAAAATATATTGTTGAACAAATTAACTTGAAACTTTGTTACATTTGATATTGTAAAAATTGTAGAGGGTCAGTTTTTTTTCTACACAATACAAAGACCCACTATATACCTACAAAATTATGAGCCAGATTCTAAAATAAATCATAAATTAGGACGACTGTTTCAGCAATATTTAGTTCACACATCGACTTAAAATTTGTATGAATCTCATCATTGTGTTTATCAAGGTGCATTAAATAATAATGATGATTTGCAAATTCCTGAAAAGTGCATCACTCAATGTTTATATTGAACCAAGATGTATTTGTTTGTGTTTATTGTTTATTACTATGATTCGTAAAAAATATTTATTGATTGAACAAACACATTTTCTTCTATATTTTTGATTATTTCTCTTGTTGTTGTCTTCTTTGTTACATTTGATATTAAATAAAAATTTACTAGAACCTGTTTTTATTTTTTTAAAGTTGTATAAATTTGTTTCCTGGAGGAAACATTAAAAAGGGGAATATCAGAAAACGCAGAGCTGTTGAAATTGTTCCAAATGTCACACATTAGAAATGAATTATTTTGTCAAGTCGATAAATATGTGATCAAGTGGTTTGATGAATCAAGTTCAAAAAGAAATCTTACAGGGTCAACTGGTCAAGTGAATATTAATGAATTTTCACAGATCCATCGGGGGGGCATCTGATCAAAGAAAATACATCATTTATTCATTCAAGTTGTATAGGGTTCAACTTCGGAATATATATAGGAAATACCTGATACACATTCAAATCCTTAGCTGCATGAATTGGTACTAAAACAATGATTCTTGCTGGAAAATGTTAAAATGTTTCCTAAAACCGTTTATCGAAAATAAAAATGTATGAGGATGATTCATTCTCACATTTCTGTTGAAATTGTTCAAATGTCACATTAATGTAGAAATGAATTATTTTGTCAAGTCGTGATCCCTTGTATTTGGCTGGCACATATATAGGCCCATAAGAAGCTGTGGTTTCAATTCTTAGATTTCCAATTCATGAAAGAAATCTTACAGTTATTCATTTACAAGGTCATCTACTACAAAGGCAACAAGTTTATATAATAGTCAATGCTGGTCAAGTGAATATTAATGATAGAATAGAACAACTGAATTTTTTTTAATTGTATGCTTGAGATTCATTTGCAAGAACTCTTTACTGTATTGTTCTACCACGATTTTACACATGGAGCAATAAGAAGTGGGAGAGAAGAAAGGTTGGTAAGGAGCAGTAGCGTGCAGAATTGGGGGGAATAGGGTGAAACGCCCCCAGATATCCATATCGGGGGGGCATCTGATCAAAGAATGAAATAAAAATGTACTATATATTAATTTTGAACAAAGTATTTATGTCATATTTCATCTGTTTTTACAGACTGAGACTGGTCCCTCTAGGTCTTGGTGGGGCATACAATCAAGGAGTTGGGCCCAAACATCACAAAACTTCAGCACCTCACTGGTAAGGAGGTGAGAAACTTCCTGATATTTTAAGCCAATGCTCTTGGGCGTGTATATACTGTTTCACTGAGATGTAGTGATATCTACTATATGAGACTTTTGCTTCATCGTGTCATAGGCTCATTTGATGCACTGAAGATATATAAGTTATAAGTTATTTTTCCTTCCTTTATGTAGAAGAGGTTCACTGTCGACTTGCTGTCAACATCAAGCGGTTGTCCTGAATAGTCCTACCCTTCATAAGTCTGCTCGGAACCAATCAGACTAGAGAGGACAGCCTGCAAACCATTTAACTCTGCCAAAATCTTTAACTCTGTATTTAACATGGTTAAAGGCGAAAGTTACCTAACCCATCCCCACCGTTCTTGATCACACCCTTAGTGAAGCGTTATGGTATAGTCCCCTGCTTCATCCAGTTGTTGTAAATTAGTTCCAGCAAAGGAACAAAAACGGGCGACAGCCTCAAGTAAACTTCATAGGGAAGACCATCTAAACCCGGAGATTTATCCAGGCCACACCTGCTTCAGCGCTTCCCCGCTTTCCGACTCTGTGATAGGACCCTCGCACCCAGCCGCATCAGCTGCCTCAAGGCAG